GTATTCCAACTCTGCTCAATGGCCCCCTCTTGAGCGACGACTAACCGGGTGTCGGATAGCGGGTTAGACCGTCGATTTGTTACCCCCAAATATTAGGCTGAAAGTAAAAAAGATCGTTTCATATCTCCCATTGCATGGAATCTAGAAGCTTATCGTCTGCAATTTTTCTATGACAATTCACAGTCGAATCAACTTTTATATCCTACGAAACGAAAGTAGCAGCCTTCAAACCCAACAGACCTTTTGCCGAATTACCCAAGCACCAAAACGCATGCCGGGAACGTAGGCACACGCCCTGCCCGTGCTGGCATCTGCAGCTGTAACTGTTCGAAAGCAAAAATCTAAAACAAACGGCACTTAACGGGTTTAAGCTGAGCTAGTTGGTTCATACTTCAGATAAGGCGAGTAGATATAGAAAAAAACATACACACAAAGAGAAGACCATACACACCGCTCATACTTCAGATAAGGCGAGTATAGATATAGAAGAAACATACACACCGCTGGACTAACGAGGGAGTTTTTCTTTCTTCTCCTCTTCTACGCACCCTCCTCTCTCTCGCGCTACACGAGAAAGAAAAAAATGTTCCTTCGCGGGCTAAATCTTCGGTGAAGTAAAAATAAAAAGGAAGAAGGGAATATTTCCCTCATGCGGGGTTCGCAGCAAGAAAGGAGGAAAAAGAAAACTCAGTTGTTAGCCCAGCGGTGAGTGTGGTCATTTCTTTGTGCCAATGTTTATTCTGGCTCAGCTGGATTTATCTGAAGGATGAAGTGGCACTTTGCACACGCGTTCTATTAACGATTTCTTTGAATTACTTACTTTATATATATATATATATATATATTTTTTTTTGTCTTGTAGGGAAAGCGGGCGGGTAATTTAGATCAATGCATATCGCGAACAAGTCCGGCGTTTCGGGCGTACTTCAGCCAGTGTAGGCATACTCTTTTTAGTTTTTACAGAACCCTGGCCTACAACTTGAAGAAACAAGTATCCAGGCGAATGGCGACAGTTCGCAGTCGGCTTTCATTTTCTCATTGGCTCGAGAATTAGCGAGCGCTCATAAGACGAGCGCACTGGAAGTAACCACGTTTGCCTCGAGGCTTACCGCCGTAGCGCCCGCTCGTCTCCTCCACGAAAAAAGAAAACGCCGCGGCTGCCTCGCAGTCTCCACGAGAGCGGCCGAGGCGAGAGCCCTGTCCACTCCCTCGTGACCCCGCCCAATCAAGGGCACCTTTCCTCCTTTTCCACCACTCGTACAGGACGAGCTAAGAGCGCCACTGCGAAGCGAGCGTCCACTCAACTTCCCGGAAATGGAGGTCACATGACCCGCCCGCTCTCATCCCGCAAACCCTCATCAAGCCCATGGCCCCTCAAGGACCTTATGCCTCGCCAAACTCATCAACTCACGCCCCTCAACCAACTCATGAACACAGCCAACTCGCGCCCATCACTCAACCTCGAACTCGTGAGTTTTCGAGGCCTATGAACTCACTCAGCCTCACATCCTCACGCTTCATCGGTGAGGGTGAGTGAGTGCACTCATGAGTAAGTTTGGCCCAGGTACGGCGAAGGGATTCTCCGAGCGAGAGAGAAAAAGATGAGTTACCAAAATGTGCGAATTAAGAAGGTAAGTAGTTTATAGTTCGTTCATTCTATAGAATAATGAACAGTATGGTGACATCCGTTTTCAAACAGCAGAAAGTTAGGTTGTTTTGAAGTCCGAAGTAATTCGGGGAATAACGATGGCTTTATTAGGTAACGGCCAATCCCCTTTCTTCTCGAGTAATCTAACTGAATACGTTTTAACCGAGAGTAATTGTGATTCGCTTACTTTTTCGAGTAACGTGTACAAGACTGGCATCAAAAAACCCTTGGAATGTCACGTTTTCAGCGTCGGTGTGAGTCCCCGTCCTCTACCATAAAGGGTGTAGCCATTACACCCTTCGTCCCATATAATATACACCAAAACTTCGAAGTTCGACGTACATTGCACTGACTGACGGTCCTACCATTTAGGCAGTCTTAGGTAAGTTACTTTTAAAAAGTAATTCGTTACAGTTACAGTTACTTTCAGAAAAAAGTAGCGAAGTTACCTTTACAGTTACCGCAACAAAACAGTAACTCGTTACAGTTACAGTTACTTCTAAAAAGTAACGATGTTACTTTTCAGTTACTTTCATATAACACCAAAAAAAAATTAAAAAGTACGCTTTTTACTTCACATTGTAACTTAGCAGCAGTTGCTTCTCGAAGTTAGTGTTCGAAACTTTTCACGCCAGAGTTGTGGTGCATATCAAAATACAAAACATGCGCAGTGCGGAGTAGTGGCGCTAATGAAAATACGAGACATGCGCAGTGCCTTACGTATATGGTTGTTTCACAGTTGATTCAGCCGATTAAAAACCGTTTGCACAGAAAAAAGAAAAACCACAACATGGATAGCGCTTCAAGACACTAAGATGTAAGTGTTCAGTCAGAAAGTACAAGCGCGTGCGTAAAGATAACTATATATTTTTTTCATAAAATCTACACGTGGCTATATTCGGCTAGTGACTCGCGAGAAAGAACGTATTCACAACTTTGTGAAGGCCAACTTGACACTCGAAATGTTGGAATAGACGATTTGGAAAGTGCAAAGAGTGGCTAAATTGCCACCCCCACCCCCCCTCGTTCAGTGATATATTATTCATAAAACACCGGAAAGTAACGACAAAAGTAACGTCGTTACTTTCATCGTTACCTCAGAAAAAAAGTAATAGAACTACAGTTACAAGTTACATTTTTAAAAAGTAACTCGTTACAGCTACAAGTTACCAAAAAAATAACGAATTTACAGTAACGCGTTAGTAGTAACACGTTACTACCCAAGACTGCATTTAGGAGAGGCTCGATGACGGTGGGATATAGCATATTAAACAGCTAAAGTTCCTAACGCAGAAAATATTTTAAGGGTGTCGGTGAGCTGGTGAATAATAACCACACTGAATTAACCTGAGACCGGGGTGCAGAACAAACATCAAAACGTACAAGAGACAGGAATTAAACAGCACAACGCCGCAGAAGCAGAATCGGGCCCAATGAGTCAGGCATAAACAGTCGATGATGCCCCTGGTACCAATAATAAACGTCTCATTGTACCTACTGTCTACGCCGAGCTTACCTACCCCAAACAACCTGCAATTTCGAAAGTCCTTCGAGGTCTGCACCGCCTTCTTATCGCAATTACCGGGTCAGCGTTTGGTCTACGGGTCGTTTTCATTTGAAAGAGCAGACGAAAAGCAGAAACGTTTGAAAGAGCAGACGACAGTTCGAACGATCAGGGGCCGTTTCAACTTGAAGACGCACTAAACGTATTCCGCGGGTGGCACGGAGAACTTAGCGGTTTTCCGGCGTTCATGTTGGAACAAAACAAATAAATCTGATGACCACAAGTATCCATGAATTCAACCCAAAGTACTTCCGGCCCAAGCAATCGTGGCCCAACGGCGTCTGTTTTCACAGCCCCTATCTACGTTCTAGGACGAACCGAGCAGGCAGAAATCACATACAAACTGATTTTCAACCAATGATAAGGTCTCATTGTACTTACTGTCTACACCGAGCCTACTTACCCCAAGAAACCTTCCATTTCGAAAGTCCTTCGAGGTTTGCACTGCCTTCTTATCGCAATTACCGGGTCAACGTTTGGCCTACGGGCCGTTTTCATTTGAAAGCGCAGACGACAAGCAGAAACGTTTGAAAGAGCAGACGTTAGTGCCCCAGTCGCGGAGCTTTTACAAGAAGGCAGGTTTCTTATAACGCATCCGAAGAATGCGCGTCCCGCAAGGGCCCACAGCCCCAGACCGGAAGTGCGCCCGACACACCACGGCGTGACGTCACATAGTTGAGTTGGTGTATAGCGCCTTGAAGACAAGGTTATCTTTAGTGGATACCCAAGCGGTAAACACGCGTCGACAAGTCTAGATGCGTCCGTTTCGACGCCGCTACGTGCTAACGTCGCGCTTTCTGTCGGACGTTGCACGACCCGCTTGCGCGGATGCCGACCAAAGCTTGGCGCTGCTGCTTGGACTCGCTAGTCATCACGTTTTGGGGGACAAATCCTTGACTTCTAGGTGGTAACACACCTGCTGCGGATATGCACCAGGTTGGTGTGTGTATACAACATGAAAACTGACACTACAAGGGCACTTTAGGCGGACCGCAAATATCAGTTTCTCAACGTTTCGCGCTAACATTTACTACAAAGGTGCAGGCATGTGGTAAAAGTCTACAGTGAAAAAAAAAATGAAAAAAAAAATGAACTTAGCTCGTTATAAAAAAAAACAACTGTTCTGGGTCATTTACGCCGCCACTTCGCAGACAATGCACGCGTACAGAGAAGTGCTGCCGACCAACAATAGCTTTTTCTTTTCTTTTTCTTCTGCTTAAACAAAAAACTTTTTTTGTTTCAACTTTTTTTTTTTTTTTTTTTACTGTAATCTTTAAACGCCGGGTTGCACCTCTGCAGTAAATTGCAGTGCGATACGTTGAAAACTCGGCTTTTGAGCGCCGTCGAAAGTGCCTCAGAAGCGTTAGTTGACATGCTGTATAATATGAAGCGCTCTGCTCGGTTCGAAAACGAGCAGATCATTGGAATAAGGTATATACGATAAAATAAGCGCCTGTTTCGGTAGAAAAAAAAATCAAAGCCGGTGCGTCGTGTTGAATGGCCCCGGCTAATCCACGGAGGTGTCATGGATGGACGCGAGGCACTCGGTGTTACGCAGCGATCGGTTTCTGACTGATGCGTTATCCTGGCGGCGCCCGTGCGGCGAGCTCAGACTCGAATGATTAGGGATCTGAATGGTGACTTCCCGTGAATGGGAATGTGAGGTAAATACTCCCTCCTCTGCCACGGCGAGGACAGTTTCTACGGCCCCCATGCACCCTGGAACGAGGGGCAGACGGGAAGGGATAAATACAAAACAGCAGCTGCGTGTCAACAGCTTCAACTCACCCAAGTTACTATGGCGCTGTCGGCAGCATCTGAAATAGACAAGAGCGGAGAGAATGATCAGTACTGAGCGAACAGTGGGAGCATAAAAAGCACTACCAGAGTTCCGGCACAGTATACGCTAATGCTTGCAGGGCATAATTCCCATACAAAAATGGTCTATGGACGTCTATGGAAAATCCTATGGTGAGCTATCACCTTCTTTGGCCCTCTATGGTCAGCCATTAGAAACCATAAAACACGCTATAGCCACCTATAGAAAAATGTATGTCTTCAAAGCTTTAGAATCTCGACCATTCCGATTTCTATACCTGGCTATAGAATAATTTATGACTACGCAGCTATAGACTCGCGACTATTCAATATTCTTTAGCGAGCTATAGAAATATGTATGTCCTTGATGCTATAGATTCGCGACTATTGAATGTGCTTTAGCCGGCTATGGAGTGGGCGTATGTCCCTAAATCTATAGAATCGCGACCAATGAATTTTCTTTAGCCTACTCTATAGCGTTTTATGTCACCAAAGCTATAGGCCTTCGACCTTTCAATAATCTTTAACCGGCTATAGAGCGGTGTATGTCCCTAAATCTATAGACTCGCGACCATCGAACTTTCTTTAGCCGTCTCTATAGTGTTTTATGTCACCAAAGCTATAGGCCTTCGACCATTCAATGTGCTTTAGCCGACTATAGAGCGGTGTATGTCCCTAAATCTATAGAATCGCGACCATTTAATTTTCTTTAGCCGACTCAATAGTGTTCTATGTTACCAAAGCTATAGCCTCCAACCTTACAATGTGCTTTAGCCGGCTATAGAGGGATGTATGTCTCCCGAGCTATAGACTCGCGACCATCCAATTTTTTTAGTTGGCTCACTGGTTTGTTTAAGCTATAGGCCCGCGACCCTCTTTTTTTTTTTTTTTTTACTGCAGCTGTACGAAAGTGGAAGAGAGTCATTCATGCGCTCGATCGGGGCGAGAATTTTCTTCAGCCAGGTTAACGGGGCGTACGTCGCCGAGGCTATACGCCCGCGATCACAAAAGCGTCCTTAGCTGCCATTGCAGTTTTGCCGGCTGCTTTCCCTGCGCATTGCCTTATTTCGGCGTTGACGTCATCTCAATCTTCCGTTTTTTAGCTCTAATTATCTGTTGTTTCCAGTGTATTTTGTAAGTATATGTATTTCGTAGCGCGCCTTCTACTTTGTCCGTGTCCCTGCCATGTTTGCATTTCTTTCTGCCTGCTGTGTTAAATATATTTAATGTTTTTTTTTTGTGTATATTTCGTCGCTCTCGACGTGGCGTCAAGAACGCTGATTACGCCACTACAGAGGTGAGCTTTACTCTTGTCACGACGGTTTATCGCGCTATAAAGCCGTCTATTGGACTCGTATAAAGTCTCGAGAGGGCGGTTTCGAATGCCGGTGCACATGTCATCGGTGTAGGTAGAACAACGACGTAGCAATCGCGACGCGAGTGCTGACTGCGCCTCGATCTGGCCGCCCGCGCTCGCTCTGTGGAAATGTAAGCTTGGGACTCCGAGCCCAGTTAGCTTACTGAAGATGCAAGACACTACTTGGTCGTCGCGAATTCTTTGCCCTTCGAATGGCTTCGAAGCAGTTCCAGCGCCCGGCGTATACCCTACGCAGCGTCCTCCAACAACCGTTCGCACAGCATCGGAACCCTCCGTCTGCGAACGCCGGCGGTTCGCCGTCGCGGGGATTATGTTCGCGGGAGTTCATGTTCGCGGTGTTTCATGTTCACCGCAGGAGTTCATAATATGCTCCCATTCAAGTCGCAACGATAAATCGTCGGCGCTCGCTGACTGCCAGTAGGCTCCAGAAAGGTTGCGATGCTGCGCGGGCGGTCGCTGACAGGCGCTGCTGCCTAGGGTACGCCGAGCACTGGAACGTTTTCGCCGGCGTTTGCAGGACAAAGAATCTCAACGACAAAGCAGCGCCCTGCATCATCAGCAAGTTAACGCTGCTCGAGAGTCCCACGCTCACATTTTATCAGAGTGAGGCGCAGCCGTCTCTCATTTCGCGATTGCTGCGTCGTTGCTCTGACTAAACAATTGACAGTTCTCTCGAGACTTCATGAGCGTTAAATCGACGCGTCTATAGCGCGATAGACTGTCGTGACAACAAAAAAGCTTACCCCGGCAGGGGCGTAAGCAGCGGTGCAATGTCCGTCAACGCCCATGTCGAGAACGGCGAAATATACAAAAAAATAACAGCCAAAAAAAAATTAATATCATTAGGCACGCGCTACCCTAGGTGCGTCCTATTATCTCTCTGTTCTGCGAATTCAACAAATCAGCAAGCGCTGTGGCTAATTTTTCTTCCTTTTCTTTAAATTATGAGACATTAAACTCATTGGAGCTTCTTGGAGCACACATCCCCACCATGAGTCATTATGGTGCTCAGAGATTGTAATTGATGGCAGTGATATAGACTGAACTCACGGATGAAAAACGTATTACGGCACAAATTTCTTAAACCACGCAATCATAGATGCCACAACGATGAAAAGATTCCCAAAATCGACGTTTAAAAATGCGAACCTAACAGTGTACACATAATTCAAAAGTGCTTGGTATAAAAAAAAAAAATATATATATATATATATATATATATTTATTTATTTATTTGTTTGTGGACATCCTGCGCAAAGAAAAAGTGTTCGCCATTAATTATTCATTTGGAATTAGAATGTGGGCTAAAAGACGTAAAATATGATATCTTCAAACATGCCTCGTTTTGGGTCACTTCTGGGAAGTGCAGCTTTAGAAAGAAGTCCAAAAGCTGGGGGGCCTTCGTGGAGCTGTCCTGTTCACTCGGTAGTGACAGCAGAGTAGACGCTATGTGTGTTTGAGGCCAATCATGTCTCCGGTTAGGGTCCCGTGACAACTGTCTCGAAGCTGGTGATAACGCTGGACATGGCACCTGCCTTAAGCCCAAGGCCACACATAGCATCCACTGCACTATCAACCTTGGCTCGAACTGTCAACAGGATATAAGTGACACATTCTCTCGCTGTGTTCATTGTTGGTATGCCCCTGAAGATTAGTCTTTGTGATCGCACCCCCGTTCTGGCCTTGAAGGAGCTCTGCTTTTCAATTTTTCTGTTTTCTCCCTCTCCCTAAGCTAGAAGCATTGCAGAAGGTGCGGACTCGGCGGACCAATCAACCGTAGACTTTCTATCGCTTCACTCCGCTCTCTGTGCGCATGTAACGGAAGGAGCGTGATCACGTGGTTTGACGGATGACGTAATAGCCGCTGCCAATCCCGGAATGAGGCTGCTTGCGGACCTAGTTTCGCGTGTCGTGCGGCCCGCGGGGCTGCTGTGGATTTCGCTTCTATGTTAAAAGGTATCCCGATCGAAAAGTCCTACCCGTGTGTCGGCAACAAGCGATTTCTTCAAAGAAGCCCAAGACATTCTTGCGATGCGTTCAGTGTTTGGTTCGGCAAGTGACAGCTTGTGCTACATCGTGGTGAATCTTCACGGATCCCTTCCTTCTCGGTTTTGAGTTTGAGTGGTTGGTCTGCAGTGCCCGTGTCGACGTATATTTCGGATTACATCTTTCAAGTCCGGTATTTTGAACGTAAGTGCGCTGCAACCTACTCGGCGACAATTGACCGTTCTGTAGTGTCTATCTCCTGGCAGTGCCTATCTTCTGACAGCTGGGAGAATAATGTCCCCATAATTCTTCCGGAGTCGCCTGCCATTAGCTCTCTGAAATTATGCGAAAATTGTGGTTAGAGTACTGACATTCTTATTCTCTCTGCGTTTTGTGAAAAGACGTTTCATGGACACCTATTCGTGGATAGACGCTTCATGGACACACGTTTAGTCGGCACTCGTTACGCGAATTGCACGCTGCAGGGACATTTCGTCGCGCCTGTATTCCTGAGGCGCGTGCTCACCGACTCAGCCCACCCGTTCACGCCACTCTTGGCAATTCATTACAAAAAAAAAACAAAAAAAAGAAAACATATTTTGAGTTGTTTATAAACGTCACGTGTTGATGAAACGATCTCGATGAAACGTCTTTTGATAAACTGATTGCAGCGCCAATGAGTGGCGACTGGCATTAGAATTTCGGGGGGAAGGGGGGGGGGGGGGAATTCGGCCGGCTGCCGGGGAACTAGACACTACCCAGGAATTGCCTTTGGTTCTTGTTTGCTTCACAATATTCTCAGTTGTATAACAGCTCAGTAGTACCTCTTCACATAGTAGAGATTGCTTAGTGTGTGCTTGTCTACAGAATGGGCTGTGTGTAATAAACTTCTTGGAGATTTGAAAACAATACCTTGTGTCTGTTTACCTGTGCTTTTGCAAACACCTGAGTGAGTGCATTTGTTTTTTGTTGTTGTTTTGTTGAAATCTTCGCTCTTTGTTTCAAATGGGGCTATGAAGTTCGGCACGTCTCACAAGGTTTTTTTTTAAAGATGTCCAGTGACAACAAATAATTTGTTTCACATTTCATACGATTGCGGTAAAAAGAAAAACTACAGGCAGCTATGGCACGATGGTAAAGAGACTCATAAGACGAGATATAGAAGAAGCTATAGCAAACCATACAGAGAGCAATATGCAGCTAAAGAAATCATAGAAAAAGCCATAGGCAGCTATTGCGCGGTGTCTAAAAAGATCCATAGAGTAAGGCATAGAGATTTCTACAGCACACCATACAAGATGCTATAGGTGGCTAAAGGAACCATAGAAAATTCTATAGGCAGCTGTAGCACGGTGGGTATAGAGAACCATAAGACGAACTATAGAATGAGCTATAGCGGACCATACAAAGGGCAATAGACGGCTATAGAAACCAAAGGAAAAGCCATAGGCAGCTACTGCACGCTGTCTAAAAAGATCCATAGAGTAAGGCATAGAGATTTCTACAGCACACCATACAAGATGCTATAGGTGGCTAAAGGAACCATAGAAAATTCTATAGGCAGCTGTAGCACGGTGGATATAGAGAACCATAAGACGAACTATAGAATGAGCTATAGCGGACCATACAAAGGGC